TATATATGTATATATAGTATAAGTATTTAGACAATCTGAAAGTTTTTATTAGACTGTTTTCGTATGAACGGGAATCCCTCTTTATGCTTTTCCATTGTTGATTGATAATTGTTTTGGATGACCTGGTGAAAATCGTTAGTTAGTGAGCTGAAAAACCAAGCTGGCGGCGAAGGACTGCAGTACGCCGGTCCCCGGGGAAGACCAGGAAAGCAAAGCACTGTAGCCAGACTGAACAACAATAATAGCGTCGCTCACCAGGCTGGCCGATGCGATCATGCGTCTTACGCAGTTCCGTCCAACGGACGTTTGCCTACTAAAAATATAACTGTTTTGCATTTTTGTGTATGGAAAAAATAGTCAATTGCTACTTAGCTCCTAAGGTGAAAAATTTCGCACTGATAGTGACGATATATGAAAACTGAATGTGAAAACATAGATCCCTAACTCCCTTGATTCCTCAGATAATAATTCTCTCCGCCAAAAATTTTGCAGGGCCCTAGATGTTATCCGCGGGTACGGAAAGGCTGAATTTAAATTTTTGCGGCCACTGGTTAGCGGAGAACACTCTACTAAAATTTCAGCCGCCTAGCTTTTGTGGTTCTCGAGTTGAAAGTACGGGACAAAATGTGGGACACACACACACACACACACAGACAACCCTATGACAGTGTGCGTTTTGTGCTGCTGTTGCACAGCAAAAAACGCATAAAAATCTGATAATACAACCCCAACCGTGGTAGTACGAAGGTCGGATTGTCTGTTGTGCTTGGAATTAAATGGTTTGGAAAGAAAGCTGACTCCTCCGGAGTTTATTATTTCTTGACCCGTGCTCGCACTAGCAGTTACGAATTGATTTTAACAATCCTGAACGATGCGAATTATGCACTTTGATTCTTTGAATGCGAAATCGATAAAAGGGTAATCGTGATAATCTTATCAGGCAGATGTAACAACTTTTGCGAAAACATGCAACTGCTTCAATCTCTTGGGATGACGCATCGTTGTTTTTTTTTATACTTGGGCTTTTACGGCTTTGCTGAATAGTAAACTACGTTTATTCTGAAAAGATAGTACCTGTATTGCCTCTCCCATGTGTACATGTTGATTTGCAGCGCCTAAAATGTTCTGTGAAAAGCCGGCATATACTCTTTTTTCGAGCGATATACCAGCAGGAAGAGGTAGAGAGGAACAACTTGAGCATCATTACAAAATGAAA